GTGTACGTGGATATGAAGATGAGCCATGTATATATGACATAGTATCTTGACCAAATGAAACAGGCATTAAAATGACATTTTCCCTTCGTGATAATCCCGTGACATTGAAAGTACACTAGTTTCTCCATTTAATTATTATGGGACCATGAAATAATTCCCAGGAGCCTGGAGGGTGTAATGCTCCTGCCTCTTCCTCCCCCCATGTTTAGACTTTGTGTGGAGGTCTTTTATCTTGGGTGGGCTGGGGTGGGGCTGGTGTTGATAATGAGAGCAGTCAGTGGTTAGAGTCGGAGGACTCACTGCAACATACATGAGTGGACACCTGCCTTCTAAGGTCAGAAAACTAGATGCGGCAGCACCAAGAACCCCAAGTAGTGGTCTTGTGAGGGCTAAAGGCGGCCCTCTGGCAGGATGAGAAAGGAGACTTGGCCAGCATGAGTGTCTGTTTTTCGGATGAAATGAGTCAGTCGTAAAGGAGGCTTGTGGGCTTCTCCACCACCCCGGATGCTGGGGGGCTGTTCGTGTGAGGGCTGGGGGCAGGAAGCACACTGCAAGGTGTCAGGGGGTTCACCTGGCACAACTGACCTGTTGTAGGAGGGACCAGGAGTGTCCGCTCATGACTTCTGTGGGTGGTGGTGGGGCTCACTAAATAGGGTCTCCATTCACTTCCTTTGGGGAAGCGCTTCCATCTGAGAGTGCAAGGCAAATCCACAAGGAGAGGGAAATAGACTTACAGTGCTGTTGCATTTTCAAGTAACTTAGCTAGCAGCTTTCTTTGTCAACATGCTTGATCCTAGACTCTTGAACCAAAGCTAGTGCTTGTACCCCCCCCAGAAGAGACTAATGATTGTACCCCCCAGAAGATACTTCCAAGTGCACACACGCACGTGCAGGCATCCATACAGTGGGCACACTCATACCTCAGGGGTGAACAGTTTCAGTTGACTAGCTCCTTTTTGGGGAGGTTATCCAACTCTCACCCACCTCAAACTCTCCACCCTACTCTGGGCCAAGTGTTGTGAGCTTTATTTCTGCCACATTATGAGCTACTGAGGCCTTTCGTTGACCAGCCTAGGAGCCTGACAACCATATGCAGTGTCACTGTTGTGCAAGATTGATCCCCAGATTTTCAGTTGGCCTTTGCAAATTCTTCCGAAGCACGGGGCTGCTTGTTTTGACTCCCACAGCCTGCTAAGTAGACTTCACTCCCATTCGGGTCTGTTCTTACAACTGGTATTTCCAAACCTCTTCTGTCTGTGATTACAAAATGGCACCACATTTACCTTTACTCCTAAATTGCAATGACTTCAAGACCCTCGTCTGTTCAAACAGCATTGGGGTGCTTTAAATATTTCCACAAATTAGTCATGATTTTCCCCTTTGCCCAAAGGAACCTCATTGCTGGCAGTGCCCACCATGAGAACACCAGAGTCTGTGCCAATGGAACTCTCTCCAGCTGCTGCCAAAGCCATTGATTTAGTTGCCAGGGCTGGACTGGGTTTCATGCAGAGGTGGGGAAAAGACCTGCCTCATTTCTGTGTCTTTTTGTCACCTAGGCCCTCAAATTGCTCTGTGCATGCCTAGAATCTCTCAAAGTGATCTTGAGTCTCTTGAACATCCTTTTCAGATTCTGTACCTCCCACTTTGCCCAGAGTCCTATCCAGTCTCCTGTGAAAACAGTTTTGTTTGGGACCTTGTCCTTCCAACCAGAGGGGCTCAGTCACTGCCCAGCACCCAGCTTTATGGGGCCCAACCCCAGCTACCACCACCCCCATAGTCGGTAAGCCCGATCCTGACCAATCTCCTCGCTCATTCCCCGGGGTGTAAAACACATGTCACATATCCCTGGGCATAAAAGGCTACTAGTGACAGTGGGACAGAGTATGGTGGGGCAGGGCCAGGGTGTGCAGGAGTCGTGTCTGGGTCCCACTGCCACTGACCAGCATGTTCAGTGACATGTTGGATAGTTCCACGCATAGCAACGCCCAGTGAAAACTTGGAGCATATCACTGGGCAGAGCCTGTGAGAGTGTTCGGGATAACCTCCTAAGGAGCCACTAGCCTTGGCAGAATAAATTGTTCCTGCCAGGTGGAGAGATAGTGCCAATGTAGCAGATCCTTACTACCCAATGTGTGTGTCACTGGGATGAAGGGCTGGGCATCTAAGACCAAACAGGCACTTAAGAGCTCCTTCCCTGTCTTCGTGGCTTTGCATCCAAGTCTGAGTTCTGTCTTGTAACCCACCATCTCTTGGGTACAGTCCGAATATAAGACCACTTTGTTGCTTCTTGTTAACCATCAACTTAACCTTTACTTGTTGTTTCCCCAGTGCTTGTGGGCTGGGAGAATTGAAAAAATCTGGGTCCTGGGTCCTGGTTTCTGGAGAATGCTGTGTTTATTTGATTTGGAGTGATGGGGTTTTTATTTATGCCGGCGGGGGCAAGGGGTGGGGTGGGGTGGGCAATTGACTGTCCACACCCTCACTGCACGAGTTCTGCTGGCTAGTCTGTAGTGACTCAGACTGCAAGCAGGAAACTAGCATAAATGCTGTTCACCCCTGATCGAAAGGCTGATGCCCTGTCGGTGACCAAGGAGGGCCGACACCGAAACGGTTTTTGAGCTGTAAGGACTCCACGCATTCAAGAAGATAGTTTTGCCTCCGCTTACCTTCCATTTCTTCTTCCTTGCCAACACGCCCGTTTGTGGCACCCCACGTGTCTCTTCCTCACCGTGTGGGAGTCTAGCAGGGCTGTGATGGGGTTCACAGACGGCCCCCCTCTGGGCAGCAGTCTTCCTCCCCACAGACAGCTGTTTGGTTCTTGGTGCTTTTAGCTCATCCAGCAGTACTACCTGGTCACTTCCTTGGCCCTAGTACACCCCTTCTTCTCCCTTGCTGCTGCATGCGGCTCTCGTAATTTCCTGATCGGTCTCTGTGGTCTTTCATACCCTTGCCAGGGATTTCCATAGCTCAGGTCTGACCTTGTCTTTTACTTCCTTCACTGGCTTCCAATTTTTTAAAGACAAAAAAAAAGACAACTGGGAATTTTCAAGACCTTCCACGTTCTTGTCCCCAACCTGGCCCTAGAGCCTTATTTCTCCCTAAATGGTCATTCCTAATCTATTCTTAAAAACACATTTGCCAGGGCACCTGGGTGGCTCAGTCTGTTAAGCGTCTGCCTTTGGCTCAGGTCATGATCCCAGGGTCCTGGATCGAGCCCAGCATCGGGCTCCCTGCTCGGTGGGAGGCCTGCTTCTCCCTCCTCCCTGCTTGTGTTTTCTCGCTCACTTGCTCACTCTTTCTCAAATAAATAAATAAAATCTAAAAAAAATAAAAAATAAAAGTAAATAAAAACTAGTTTGCTTCTGTGTACCTGTCCCTGTTGCTTAGGATGCCTTTCTGACATCCCTCCCTGTTGTGGAAATCCGTTATAATCCCCTTGATAGCCCCTTCTCTGAGAAACCCTCCTGGATCCTTCTAGTCTGAATGCACTTCTTACTCTGACCCCACAGAACAGGGGGGTAGCTGCTCTGTCCTTAGCACTCGGCAGAGCCCGGGGCATACTAGGTGCTCAGCGATTCTTTGCTGAATGGATGCCTCTTTTTTCTTTCTTTTTCCCTCCTCTCCTCTTTTCCCTCTCTCTTTTTTAAAGAGTTAGCTATACCACATCTTGGACTTCTTGGCATCCCATTTTCAAACACGCTATCCTTTTGCCTGTGAATTAGGCTTTGCTTCCTGGTTGCTGGTGTTGCAAATGCAGTCCCTATGGAGCAAAGATGCAAATCTTTGCAACTAGCTCAGCCTTGGAGGGCAGGGCCTTTGTTCTTGCTTTTTTTCATAAGCCCCACTGCATCTAGCACGATGCCTGGTAATTGAGGGAGTGTGCCGAGAAATCTCCAGAAACATCTTTGATTGCCTATGGGAGGCCCCATGTGCCATTCAAAACAAACATGCTTTGGCATTACTCTTCTTTAGTTTTATGGTTATTTTTGGTTAGGGAGTGTGATTTACTTACCGTGTAATTTTTTAGGTGTACACTTTTATGATTTTTAATGTTTATGTAGTTGTATGACCACCAGCATAACCAAGATAGAGAATATTCTCCCCACCCCCATTCTCTCACGCTTCTTCTCCTCCTACCAATCCTGGGCAATCACTGATACCTAAATAGTTTTGCCTTTTCCAGAATGTCATATAAATGGAGTCATGCAGTATGTGGGTTTTTGAATCTGGCTTCTTTCAGTTACAATCATGCTTCCTTTTTTTTTTTTTTTTTTTTTAATTTGATAACGTGGACCCTAACCGACACTTTATCTGCGCCGCCTTTCTCGTAGCTGGGCAGGGGCCACGCACGGGGTGTGGACGGGTCTGTGCGAACTGCCAGCATCTGAGTCAGCCCTACCTTTGCAGCCTTATTAGTGCTTCTTTGGACCGAGGGTCCCAGCTGCTTTGTCAAACCCGCTGACCCTCCGTCCCCTCCTGTCCCCCCGTGGTGGCACCTGGCCTCCGACAGCCTTCTCCCCGGGGTCCTGACCGGTCATCCCCATCGCCGTGGGGGGCACTGTGGAGGGGGGAAGCTGAGTAGATGGGGTGGGTGACCACTAAATTCCTCCCTTGGGGAGGGGGCCGGGTGACAAAGGTCAGGCCTCTCCTGGCTAAAACAACAGAAGTGGTTCCAGCTGCCGAACAGCTGGAGGGGGACGTCTGCTTTCCCTCAGCAGCGTGAAAAGCCCTTTAATCGGGGGCGTGCTGTTGTCAGGCCCCGCGGTGAAGGTGTGTCGAAGAAGAGCAGACACCACCGCGGCTGCAGACCTCCCCTTCCCTTTGACCTCCCTTATCTTCCCCCTTCCATCTTCTCGCACCCCGCTCCGAGGCCGCCAGATCGAGACCCTCCTTTGCACCTGTGTAAATGCAGTGGCGGTGGGGTCAGGGAAGGGTGAGAGCAAGCTGGCAGAAATCGGGATGTGGATTTTCCAAGCAGATGATGGATTAGATAGCGGGCGGGTGAGTGACGTTTTAATGTGAAATTGCTCTTCGTTCCCAAAGATGTGCAGGCCCCGGGGGGAAAAGACCAAAGTGGGGTTTTGCAGCTGGTGAAGCAAGTGACAAGAGGTGGATAGTCCCTGGTCAGAGAGTCAGGGGCTGAGCTGCAGCTAGACGTCTGGAATGCGGTTCTCTACTGCTTCTTCCAGGCACTGGCTCCAGGAGCGGCTTTTTTCTCCTTTCAAAAGCAGAGTTACCTCCCAGAAATGCTTTGTAGTGCCTGAGCTCTAAAAGCTTGAGCCGGACTTTGACTTACAAACGTGCGGGGGGGTGGGGGGGGGGGGGGGGGGGATATCCCTCCCTTAGGCAAGCTTGCTTTGCCTGCGGACCCTTCTCCTCTCCTGCCCACCGAGGGGCCGTCACCGAAGACCCCGGCCCCTGCTGCCAGAGCTAACAACAGAGCCCCCCCCGCCCCCCACCCCCGGCCCCCGGCCAGCCTCGGGCACAGCGTTTCCTCCTGCGCCAAGGGAGGCCATGAGTGTAGTAGAAAGATCTGGCCCTTTCCGGGCAGACATAAAGAATGCTCTGCCACTTACCTGCTTGGCCTGACTGGGCCTCGGCTTTGTCCTTGTTCATTGGATCAGTTAGTATTTCTTGAGTGCCCACTTTGGGCAAGGCCCCTGCTGGGCACGAGGGATCCAGCGATGTGGCCCCCAGATCTTGGTGACTGGGCAAGAAACATAAAGTTAAACTGCTGGTCATTGAATTGCAATTGTGACACAGGAGGCTTGTCACAGGGGTCCCATCTGGGAAGTCAGTGCCCCAAAGAAACAGCATTTGCACTGAGACTGGAAGGTTGAATAGGAGGTATGAGGTTGGGGCCCAGTCCAGGGAGAAGGAACTCTCCCAGGACCAGCGAGTCCAAGGCAGGAAGGAGCAGAGCCGTGGGGCTAAATGGGGGCCCGGGCGTGAGGGGCATTTACTGTGCTCGTCACCGACACGGCAGGTACACTGGTAGGGATCACTCCCTTTCCCACCCCTTCCAAGTAGAACTTTGCCGTTTGGGCCGGGAGACTTGCCATGACTTACAATGTTAATTCTGTGGAAAAGTGAATTCAGGGTGTCAAAAACGTGACGTATAATAAATGAATCACTGATACCATTTTATCATCTGGCAGTTATTCTTAGTCAAGTGCATGCACAAAGTGGCTGCAAGACAAACCAGAGTGTGAATCACATTGGCTGGATCAGAGTTTTCTCTTGACACATACTCATTTCAGGCACAGCAAGCCCAAGCCTCTCAGATTACTGTCTACCTTATGGAGGGGAATACTTATCTGCAGGGTAGTAGGAAGGCTTCGGGGGCCTGTGTGAGGAGGAGTCCCACTGGGCCAGCCTCACTTGGCTACCTAATGATGATATCTGCCGTGGGTATATGGGTCCTAATCTCAGCCACCCCGGTACATTCCCTTCAATGTCTTTGTGATTTCTCTTCCTTTAATCCAAGGGAAAAATCCTGTGTTTAATGTATGGCTTTCCTTATCTAATAGATGTTCCTTAAAAGGAAAGAAGAGAACAAACAGCTTACATTACTCTCTGTGTTTGAGAGTTTTAACCTTTTGGTAGTCGTTGGACAAAGAATATCTCTTTTCACGGTACATGATAAAAAAAAGGGGGGAGTTTTTTTTATCCAGGATATGTTTTCGGTAAGGTTTGACAGTCACCCCATTCATTCTCAAACCTGTATTGGACCACTGCTGTAGATCAGGCACTGCGTTAGGCCCTGCACATGCAAAGAGGGACAAGGCGGTCCTTCACACACATGTGAACACACAAATGATGGTGCAGTGTGTTAAGGGCTTGGGTGGAAGTATGAACACAAGGCTGCAGGAGCTCCAAGGAGCTAAATAATGATGATGTTTAAACATGAAAATGTTTGCTCTTCAGGATGTAACCTCCATGCAGTATGGAATTTGAACTGGAACGGGGAGGAAAGGTTGGTGGTGCAGTCAGACATTTGGGCCAGAGATAAAGGACCGAACGAAATCATCATGGATAAATGAGGAAAGCCTGCTGGAGAGAGAGGCCCAGCCAGCCCTGCCTAGTTATTTCAGATGCTCTGACCAAGGCTCCAGGGAGGGACGCCACAGGGGCTGTTCCAGGCCCAGCCCTGCTCTCAGCTGAATGTAGTCCAAGTGTGTTACTTCAGTTGACACCATGTGGAGCAGAAGAACCTCCCAGCTGAGCCCAGCCAATCCATGGACTTGAGAGAAATGATTAGTTGTTTAAAGTCACTGAGTACGGACGGGGGTGGTTTGCTTTGCAGCAACAAAGAAGCAAAGCAAAAATATTAAAAGTGAGTAGCAGAAGCTGTGTTATGCGCACATTTATTAAAGAGAAACCTCAGATCCGTTGAGTTTGGCCTGTGATTTTTGAACCTGATATCATAAAGGGGAATGCCCTTTGCTGCTCCGAATGGTGGCCTTCACATTTCTAAGCCCAGTGGCTGGGCCAGCGCCCTGGTTGTTTATAATGTCTCCTGCCTCCTCTTCTACGCCTGGGAAAAACTGAGAGATAAGCCTGTTAGCAGGAAAACGCCAATTTAGAATTTCAGATACTGGTTAAATCAGCATGGTACAGGTGGAAGTTAAGACTGCAAAGCCAACTCCATATTATAAAGGATCAAACATCTCCTAGATGGAACCTTAGGCTGCCTCTGCTGTTCCCTATATTGTCATGGAAACCTGGCACTCAGTCAAACCTGGCACAGCTTGTGGTACCCACGTGGCCTCTCTGTGCAAAAGCTGTGGCAGGGTTTGCATTCTACTCTGCTGGAGCCTGAAGGCTAAGATAGGCATGTGTGCGTTTCAGACAGAAGGGGTTGTTGGTCTGACACTGATTTCATCTACCTCCGTCTCCTCTATGGAGAAGACAGTCCCCAGTCAGTAGCTTACTTTTCCACTAGGAAGGAGGGATTGTTGATGTGTATTTCAAGTGCTTGTTCTACTTTACAAATGTGAGCAGAACACAAACTGCTGTGTGTTTGCTTTGGAATCATTCACTCCCCAAGGAGAGAGGGTGGGAGTAGCAGATGATTGCAAACTCGAAATTGTCCTGGCCCCTTTTGTTTGGTTTCCGTATTACACAATCATATTTAGCATAATTGTTTTGTTTTTGTTGTCTTTTGGTTAGGAAGAAGGAAGGGAATGTATGTGAGGATTTTTATGAAAATACTATACCCCCCTCCCCCCAGGGGAAATGGTCCATGCTTTGTCTAGCTGGGGAGACAACTTGCACCCACCCAGCACCAAAACCTTCCTTCAACCATGGCTGCTCTTGAGCCCACAACTGATGTCTGTGGCTCGGGCGTTCAGGTTCCTGCAGGGTGACTCAGACTCTGAGTTTGGTCTGTGTGCTGAGAGAACTGACTCCGGCCACAGGTTGGCACTTGGGACCTGTAGCCTGAGCTCCTGACTCCACAGCAGAGAGGAAAAAGCCACCTTTGTGACTTCAGGTAGACTGAGGAACTCCTGGGATGTGGTGCTGTTGATCAATAAGTAATGAACCAATTTCATGTCCAGCTTCAAGATGTGGAAATTATCCTCAGGCTCTGCTTCTTTTTTGCCTTGGTCCAGTGGGTCTTAGCTTGGCTCAACTAGGAGAAGTTCCAGGGAGGATGAGCCTCTCTCTCCCCCTCTATTGCTGTGCTCTTGGGTATGGTAGCCCCTAGCCACACGTGGCTATGCAAATGTAAGTGAACTAAAATTAAATGCAACCAAAAATTTAGTTCCTCGGTTGCATTAGCTACAGTTTAGTGCTTAATAGCCACATGTGGTGTGTGGCCACTGTGTTAGACGGCACAGATATAGAACATGTTTTTCATCACAGAAAGTTCTGCTGGACTGTGTGGTTTTAGCATTGCAGAGTCCCTAGGATTAAATCCTCTCTGGGTCCTGCAGTGTCCTGTTCCCTCGCTGTACGGCCACTCTCTGCTCACTTGTCTCCACCCTAGAGTGCAGGCCCAGTGGGGGCAGGACTGTGAGGGTTGTTCTTGCCTGCCGGGCCTCATGCAGTGCTGGGTGCGTAGTCCTGGCTTATTGAAGACAAAAGTAGGTGAATGGATGGCTGAATAAACAGTGTTTGTGGACTCAAAGTAATCCCCTTGGGCCCTGGAGGTTTGGGTGATCATATTAGGGCATAGACGTCCTATTAAAAGTTCATTTTATAGAACTCATCGCCTTTTTCTTTTTTTTTTTTTAAACAACCACAAATACACACAGTTCCTAAAACAGATGAAAATGAGACACCACAGACGGTGGAAGACAGTCTTTTAGCAATGGCCCCATGCTGTCTCGGAACTTTTTTACTTGGCCTCAGGGACCAGTAATTTCTAGATGGAACCTTTTGAGAGCCCTTGTGGAGGTGGGAAGGATCTCCATGTGTTGGGGTAGGTGGGGCTTCTTCTGAAACTCTTTAACCTGTCTATTTGCAGACAGAATGTTCCCCCAGTCATTAAGCTGGTCTCTGGCACAGCTGCCGTGGCGTCTCTGTTGGCCCAGAGCTAGCCATTTCCAAACCAAATTTATGGCTTGTAGTTCAATGCCACGGAGACGCCCACAGCTCTCTTCTCCCGTGAGCTGAGGAAGAGAGAACAGGGCAATCTCCTTGAGTTTGAAAAGACACTTTGTCTTTTCCGATCCCTGCCTTTTAAGGTGAACAAGGGCCCTGTGAGGAGCTTATCCCACTAGGCTTCTAGTGCCCGGAAGGCAGGCCTGTCTTGTCTGGATCTTCAGCGGTTGGCGGCTGGCACACAGTAGGCTCTTGGTAAACGGTTTTTGACTTTGGGAATCCAGTTTTGCAACTGGGTCAGAGCTCCTACTTGCGGCCTTCCTCTGTAATAATGAAAAAGGCGGTTTTGGTGTAGCTGGAAGCAGAGCTCTGAGCCAGGCTGTGGGTGTTGGATCCAACACTCACACATATGTGCTTGGAGGGGTCGCCGGGCTTTGGTTTCTTCATCTGTAAAAATGAGGATTGTAACTTACCCTGCCTCATAGAGTGACATTAGTTAACGTGTCATAAGTGATACCCAACTATCAGCTTTTATTATTATTGTTCTTCAGACTTAAGGTCTGGCCACCCAAATCCCTTTGTCACCAAGGATGAGTTCCTTGGTTTTCCCAGGCATTAGAAGATACAGACAGTTCTGTCCTTGTCTGACCATGAGAAAAAAAGGGCATGTTGCTCCTTGGCCCCTGCTAATTCCCATGGCAAAATAACCTAACAAGGTAGGTCTTAACGAGCAGGTGTCACTTCAGATAAGTAGTGTCTGGATCCACAGGTGAGAAAACAGTCATGTGATAACAACAGCACCTTGACCTGCTCTCGGACAGTCGGGGTCACAGGTTGGCCTGGAAGCCTGGGTGGGAGGGTACCAATGCCACCTCTGGCTGGGCGCTGGCTCTTCACCGGGTGAAATTACAGAGCCAGGTCTGGCGGCATTTCTAGGCCACAGACGGGTTAGGAATGGGTCTGGGAGGGCCACACAGAGGGAGGGAGAGAGACATTTGAGGCCAGCTTTGCTGGTTGCAGCCACCTGTGTCCTGTGCCCATTCAGGATCCCGTGGCCAGGGCTTCCCAAGCCTGCCTCATTCAGCTGGACCTTTGCGTTCCAAGTTTTCCATGGCGCACCGTTGGTGGTAGA